GGGCTAAAGATTCACCACCTATAGACAGCAATGGTGTCAACTGACTATACTGGGACGCCGGAAGCCACCGCCACTCAGTCTTGGAAGGGTTGAGTCTGAGCCTATTTCTTCCCATCCAAACCCGTACGGCCTCCAGGCAGCGGGACATCACGTCAAGGGCATCATTGGGGTGGTCTGGGGTGGAGATGTACAGCTGAGTGTCATCAGCGTACTGATGTACCCTCACCCCAAAACCACGGATGATCTCGCCCAGTGGCTTCACATAAATGTTGAACAGAAGGGGCCAGAGGACCGACCCTTGTGGCACCCCCCAGGCAAGGCGCCTCGAGGTTGACCTCTGCCCCCCTGCCAACACAAACTGTGAGCGGTTGAAGAGGAAGGAGGACAACCACCACAGCACGGTGCCCCCTATTCCTAACCCCCTCAACCGCTGCAGCATGATACCATGGTTGATGGTATTAAAAGCCACTGAGAGATCTAATAGGACCAGGACAGAGGAACAACCCCTGTCCCAAGCCCTCCAGAGATCATCAACCAATGCGACCAATGCCGTTTCCATGCTGTACCCCTGCCTGAAGCCCGACTGGTACGGGTCCAGATAGACAACTTCATCCAGGTACCGGGGGAGCTGTCGTGCCACCACACTCTCAACAACCTTCACCACAAAACGAAGGTTGGAGCCCAGACGATAATTAGCTAGTACAGCCGGGTCCAGGGAAGGCTTCTTGAGGAGAGGCTTCACCACCTCCTCTTTCAAGGCGGCGGGAAAGGCACCCTCACTCAAAGAAGTATTTATAATCCCCTGGAGCCAGCCTCGTGTAACCTCCCGAGAGGACAGTATCAACCAGGAGGGACACGGGTCCAGTAAATATGTGGCAGCACTAAGCCTACCCAGAATCCTGTCCATGTCCTCGGGAGCCACATGGTCAAACTCAGATAATATTCTCAGATAATATTCTCAAGACCTACCCCCGTCTCCCCCCCCTGCACTCATCCAGTCGGAGTCCAAGCCTTCCTGAATCTGACTGACTTTATCATGCAGGAATTGCACAAAATCCTCAGCTCGACCCTGCAAGGGATCTTCCCGTGCTCCCTCCTGAAGAAGGGAGCAGGTCACCCTAAACAGAGCAGTTGGGCGATTCTCTGCAGATGCATAAGAGCAGAAAAATAATTGGATTTTGCCACTTTTATTGCCACTAGGTAGGTCTTGATATAAGACCTCACCTGTGTTCGGTCAGAATCAGATTGACTAGTCCTCCAGAAGCTCTCTAGGGGTCTTTTCCGCCTAGAGAGTCCAACCCCCTGCCCAAGCAGGAAGCCCAACACCATTTCTGACAAATGGCAGTCCAATCTCTTCTTGAAAGCCTCCAGTGATGAAACTCCACAACTCCCAAAAGCAAGCTGTTCTATTGGTTGATTGTTTTCACTGTCAGAAAATTTCTCCTTATTTCTAGGTTGAATCTCTCCTTGGTCAGTTTCCATCCATTATTCCTTGCCTGGCCTTCAGGTGCCTTGGAAAATAGCTTGACCTATTCTCTCAATAGCTTGAGAGAAATAGCCTTCCTCTCCTCAATCCTATATAATCTCTCTCCATATATACATATTGTATATACTAAAACAATACACACAATGAAAAAAAAAAACCAGAGGGCAAAAGTGCTATACTCCTAGCTACTTCTTTCTCATTCATAGATATTAGCAGCAGGGTGAATTATAAATCAGGTGTGTGTGCTGAGCAACAAGGGGAAAACAACAGGCTGAGGAAAGAGCCCAGGCAGGTAAGACAGGTGTTGGGATGTAACCGCAGTGCTTGTAAAAGTATACCCATTGCTACATGCAGGGCTGAAGAACCTTCCCGACGTTGGCCCTGCGATGTAGGGCTACAGTTCCACAAGCAATTGAAACTGAAGTTGCTGTTACATTCCTTGAATCCAAAGTTACAAAGCAAGGATTACCCAGGGAAAATCCCATTAGGAAACATGGCACTGAGAGGGCATGCACAAAATATGACAGGAGGTGACTCAGTTCATTCAGTTGAGTGACATACCTCTTTCCCCTGCCAGGATCATCCAAGATTGAATAAACAGTAGAAAAACAGGGAGGAAATTTAAATAGGCAATCAGGCATTAGTTGGGACTGGTGGCGTGCTACGTGCTAGAAATAAATTAATTTTGCATTGTTTTTATTAGAGAAATATTTTAGGTTTTATTTTAAATGTGAAATTATTTTTCGGAGGTTTTTTTAATGCAAGGTAAAAAAAAAAGTCAGTGACAAGGAAAGCAGAAAAGAGGGAATTAATATTACAGGGTTAAACGATATAAGCAAAAGGTTCATTTTATTGGAGTTTTAAAAGGATGATTTATAAAAGTTATATCAAATCACTGCGATTTCACGGAACCCTGGAATTAATTTATGTAGAATTTTAGTCCCTCTATACATGCAGTATATGCAGCATACACTGTGTGTTACAGGGTGCCATCTAATAGCAAATTCATTCTGATCACAAAGTGGTCAGAATATTATATATGAATTTGCTTAAGCTGAAACAGGATTGTTGTTAAGCTACAATTACCATTAAGAAAAAGAGTCTGCCACTTTATGTACTCATACAGACCATCCTTCATCCACTTGTGTCATCCAGATGTATGAGGTCTACAATTTTCAGAATTGTTGACCAACATTACCAAGAAATTTTGGGAGACATAGGAATAGTACATCTGAAGGGCATCATATTTGGGAAGGACATGATACACCTTTAGATGTAAAGTACAATTGGGAAGTGATTCAGTGTCTATCATATGAAAGATGGCAATCACAAACTTTATCCCAGCCTGCTTAAGTTATTTTCTCACTGTTTACCTATAAGAATGGCCATCATAGGTTTGCCTAGCATGTTTCTAGGTTCTACAGCTGATATGAAAGTGAGTTGGAGGAGTATGATACCAGTCCTAGAGTCCAGAATAGACTAGGGAGTTAGGTTGCTCCTGAAATTACTACAGATCAAACAGTGTGAAAAAGCTGGCACCTGAATCTGTGATTTGAGGTGATGAGAAATCTTAATACTTGTATTTTATGATAGTAAGCTAACCATTTCCTTCCTAATGGCTTACAGCTAAAATTTATTTTGTTCAAGATTTCTAGCACCCTAACTAATCACCAAAGTTGCATTCACGTCCTGAATGCCTCATGAAGTATGCCTCATTTCACAAGGCATAAGAAATGTTTAACTTCCTAAAATGTCTCAAAAGTTGGATTTCCCGAAAACCAGCAGTGGAAGATGACATGGGAGAGAGAAAGGAGTTATAGCAATGTTTGCAAATTCATTTCAGTAATGTCCCTGGCTTTATGCTTATGGCTGCCACAGCTATCTTCCTCTGAGCAATGTGTTGTTAATGACATAATTTCATTTCCTTATGTCTTCCTAGGGAGATTCACATCCCTGTTTGTAAAGCATACGGAAACTGTGTTGCTGGCAATTGTTCATGGAAGTCATCTTGCAATGAAAGTAGTATTTCTCATGGGCCAAACTCTGAACAACCTCTTTCCTTCCATGAATTTACCTCCCTAATCTTCATCAGAGTGAAAAGGTGATGGAGGAAGAACTGAGTCCAACATGAATTAAAACTACAGTATTATATTGGTTCTTCATTCTTGTTTGTTATGGCATATATATGGGCTCCTGGGCACAAGCAGAAGCCATGGGCAACTCCTAGTTACAGATCGAATTTGTCTTTCAGGCAGAGCTCTCCATCTATCTCATGAGGCCTCAAGTGACAATTTTATCTGTTTCTGAAACTCAGGTTAGAGTTCCACCTTGTCTAGTGAAACAACTATTTCACAATGCTGGAGTGATTTTAAAATGGTCTTCTTGAAGCTTTCATTGTCCTCTAGTCCTTTTAGTGATGCACTCCTTAGAGAAGGCAGAGAAGTGTGAAAAGGAGTGGTTCAAGGTGACTTTGAAGTGGTCTATGGAGATTCTCAATCATCCAGTTCATGGTTGTCCCAAAGGTGCTTTTCCAAAAGCACCTTGGTTTTTTCCTTGAGAACATTTTGCTTCTTATCCAAGAAGTTTCTTCATTTCAGATGAGAAGTGAAACGTTTTCAAGGGAAAAAACAAACCAAGAAAGTTCATTTTTGCCCTTTGGAAAAGCAGCTTTGGGATACCTTGAAGTAGCAGCTCTCTGATGCTTTTGCTCCCTTATTTCTTTGGGAGGGTTCTAACTTCCTTTTTCATATGTCAACATCTTAATATATGACTTTATAATCTCCAGCAATATTCCCTCTGAAATTGAAAGAAAAATATCAAGCTTGACTCCTAGTGATTTCCGTTTAGACTTTTTGGCAGTAACATGGACATATTTTGCCATTGCCTTCTTTCTTTTTCAGCTTCCCAATCTAGCCTACAGCTCTGGGATTTCTGACTTTGCTCAGCATTTCCAGGATAAAAGCTATCAGGAGGTTTGGTACCTTTTATATTGTAATTATTCAGCTGTTAAAAGCATGTGGCCAAAATCTGCATCATTATCAGTCATGGATAAGGTGGATAATTATCATGGAAAGCTAAATCTATAAATGGTGATTATTCAAGAAGACAATCTTCTTCATAGAATAAGATGATGAGACTTTTGTATAAAACCAAGAAGACATTGTATTGTAGTGCAACATTTTTACACAAATGTCTTCATTAGCAATCTTCTGTGAAAGCTAATATTGAAGCTGTCCTCTGGAACACACATTCTGAAGGGTTCCACACAAGATAAATTTTCTTGATAAAATTGCAATCAGAGTGAGTTTGCATTGTGCCCGATACTTGAATACATCTTTCAAATGTATTTCCTTGCAAGGTTGTATTTACTGAAATGCAGAGATATTTCGGGAGGAGAATGGATTGTTTTACTTAAGATTTACCTAGAACATAAAGCATTATGTCTGCAATTTGCACAGGTACACACTTGCTCTAATAGTTCTTGATTGGAAAATTTTAGCATACTGCTGCTCACCTCTGCGTGATGTTCTTCATTCTGCTGCAGAACTTCAATCACCAATTCCGCCAAGCGAATTGTATCTTCTAGTTTTTTGGCAGGCGTGATTAACCGACCTACATTTTCTGCAGTACAAGAACTTGAATTAAAATGGAGTGAGACAGAAGAAGCTCAATATATGGCCAATCGATTAGGTAGTTAATTAAAAACTGTAATAATTGCAATCTGAAAAAAAAAATCTACATCATGCAAGGATTAAAATGCTATATAGTTAGTACTGAGCAAACTATGAAGCAACATTTGTTGTTATATTAAGAAAACAGTGCTCCAACATTGACTTTAAAAGATATATAAAGACTGCCTTCCTTTGCACTGATAGCAAGTATTTAATGGAAAGTGAGAAATGTACATTTCCTAGAGACAGCATCTTTCTAGTATCTACATTAGGAATATTTAATTCCACAGTTGATACATACATATATCTGTGCTCTAGATCTGAAATATTTTTGCAATGTGTGTATTGTATAAAATAATCTAAGAATTAGTAATGTTGAAGTGACAGATTAAAATGAACTCACCCTATTTTACATGAATGAGTTTATATTCTTTGAACTTTAAACTGGCAAAAAATAGAAGTCTCCCATATTTATTTTTGAGAAAGCTAAAGAGTTGGGAAAGGGAGTGGGAAGGAGAAAATGATGACCAGCAACAAATTAGATGGATTCAATTAGAGTGGTAATAGTGTATCATTAGAAGACTTAAAGGGTCAGGTTTGGGACAGATCATCCTGCAGAAGCTCTAACTACGTAGTCTCTTAAATTTGATACCAAAACAGATGGCACATAAGCAAACCATATCCAAGTCAAACCATTTAAACTGAAATGGTTGTTCCTGTATCTTGATATAATGTTTGAATATGGGATGAATGTGTACAAAAATATTGTTACATGTAATGTTAAAAATATCCCTTCCTAGTTCTTGTACAGTACAATTGTCCAGAGTATTTTCATGAGAGTCCAAAGAACTGAGGTGTTTTTTTTTGACATTCTCCAAAAGCCAGATCAATTATTCATTAGGGATAGATGAATCATGTTTCCTTCCTTCCTTCCTTCCTTCCTTCCTTCCTTCCTTCCTTCCTTCCTTCCTTCCTTCCTTCCTTCCTTCCTTCCTTCCTTCCTTCCTCCTTCCTTCCTTCCTTCCTTCCTTCCCTCCCCTCCCTTCCCCTCCCCTCCCCTCCCTTCCTTTATTTTATACATTTATAGTTGCCCACCTTATATTAAACTCTGGGCAAGTCCCAATCAAAAATTAAAACAATATCCATAATAAAGCAACACAATGGCACATTAAATCCAATAAAACTGTTAAACATTAAATTCTTATTGTGTGCTTAGTTCATAGGGAGATTTGTGGGAGTCCTATTTCAATTTTCTGGCTTTCTAAAAAAAGAGGACTCAGCTTAAAGTCACATGTAAACATAAATTTGTATTCAATGTGGCTTTTTTAAGACAAGAAATGTATAAAAAACAACCTTTTTTTTTACATTCCACTGCAGGATGTCTGTCACCATTTCTAGTTTTCAGGAACCTGGCCATATGATTGTGTAATAAGCTTCCACATTTCCTTCTGTGAAAACCTCATGGCCTTTAAAAGACATTAAAAGATCCCCCACCCTTTTTATTTTTACTGATAGATGATTATGGGATCTCTTTCATCCATTTAATTCTTATTAATGTTGTCAATTCCTTAGTTTGATTCCTATTTTATATATGCCCCCCAAGTTTTATTGGATGGAAGTTTGTAATCACTGTGTTTCCTTGAATTGCAATGCACTTGTTAAAGGTGCTTCATAAATACAGATTATTATTATTGCTATTGTTGAAATTTGCTAAAGCAGTCCACTTCAAGCTATTTCAGACATAGGAGACTGCTTGGATATCTCCTTCCTCATGTCATATTGAAGACTTCCATGATCAGTAACCAAACTTCAAAAGTATTGCAGAATTGCTGCTTATTAGAATAAGAAACTAGGAACTGATTGTGCACACCAGAGTTAGTCAAAATTTGCTGGCTTATGAGCTATGGTGGAGCAGTGATTAGAATGCAGTACTGCAGGCTACTACTGCTGATTGCCGGCTGCCTGCAATTTGGCAGTTCAAATATCAACAGGCCTAAGGTTGACTCAACTTTCCATCCTTCTGAAGTCAGTAAAATGAGGACCCAGATTGTTGGGGGCAATGTGCTAAACTGCTTAAAGAGGGCTGTAAAAAGCACTATGAAGTGGTATATAAGTCTAAGTGCTATTACTATCGCTAGTCAATCAGAAACTGACTGACTGAATCACAATTTAAGCGTCAAATTCAGGCACTTGACAAAAGAATCACAATTGTCTAGCAATCGGTGGTTTATTAGATCCAAGTGATTTTACTTGAATCCAACTAGAAAGGATCAGTGCACTTAACCATTCTTCCTGCATAGATTTGATTCAAGAAGGATAGTCCATTTTTGAGTCCTTCCTTTACTGCTTCTAAAAAACTAACAAGGAGAAAATTCTTGTTTATGTAGATTGTGCAAATAATCCAACAGACAGCATTTTTCTGTGAGGCAGGAAAAAAAAGGAAAGGTGCAAGAAAGGAACAGTTCTGACAACAATCTTCCAATACTTTTTCTGGCTTGCTACCCAACTTGTGCTATGCTAATTACTAGACCTTGGACACCTTTAACTTATGGAGGGAATATGTACCAAAACTTTTATAACAAGTGATTTGCAAGATTCTGTCTCTAGGTAAAATGTAAATCCACCCTGTCCCTGATTTTCTTTTCAATAATGTTTTTTTTTTTTTTGAGACAACTCCTTCAATTTATCGCATTGCAGCTGGAGCACTGCTCAATGAAACAACAGAGTTTTCAATAACTTCATACATCATTGAAATCATACAAATTCACAGGTCTCATGCAAAATGTTATGCAACAACAATGTTATTTTGTGCTGACGTTGATATTTGAAAATGTTGCATATGTCAAACATTGCTAGACAGAAAATGTGGACATTTTGAAACTGAAGCTATTTCTAAAAGCGTTGCGCTAGCCATTTCTGGATAAAAGCTTACGGTAGGAACTAGTTATGCTACGGTAAATTAAATAGGAAATGACTAAGCTAGCAATTCGTTGAATTAAAAAAAAAAGTTTTTTTTTACAGTACTTGACTCTTGTATGCCTTTCAGCATCTGACTGATCATGTTAGCCTGTGTATTAATAGATGGAGTGGGCCCAACTGGAGGTTTGGGCACTGACGATCGAGCTGTTTGCGAAGGATGTTGAAAGACAGCAAAAATAAAGACACACGTGATTTCATAAACAGTGACAAAAAAAAGATGGTAACTTTGAAGGAAAAGTAAGCAGAAAATGATAAAAGTACACATGGAAGAGCTGCTGTTTTGCTTATCGTCAACTCAAGTACTACACAATTATGACAACAAACATTTTTATCTCAAGTTGACAGATTCCACTACGCGAGGAAAGTTCACAATCTAAGATCCTTAAAATTCAGTGTGAATGCTAATTGTTATTTCATGTAGCCAAGTGCAAAAAGCAGGATTTTAGTACAGTCAATTAGTTTTTTTTTTTAAATCTGCATGTGTCAAATGTGAAATAGCATTGCCAGCCTTTTTCACCCATATAGGAAGAAATATTCTCTCTATAGATTGCTTCCAGACATAGTCAGTGTTATTAGTTGAAAAAAAGAAGGAACTTCTTCAAATAAATTATTTTGCAGATACCGAGATTTTTTTTTAAAAAAAAATAATAACACAAATTTGGGCTGAAGACATAGCTAAAAAATTCGTAGTGCAATTTAAACGTGTACACAGATCTCTCACTCTCACCCCCCCTAAAATGTGTGGTATCTGATAGTTTCCAGCTTGTTATTTTCCACTTGGAATTCTAGTGTCTTTTATACTCTGGGTTGAATCATATATAAAAATTTGCCAGTTCTATCAAATATGTTACTTTGCTATTCCAAATGTTAGAATACTACAAATCAGGACTTGACCCATCTGTCATATAGTTTGTGATATCAGCCTAAGGGAGAAAATATATATAATATATAAAATATATATGTATATAACATAATATATACAGTAATAATATGTATATGTATACAGTATATATTATATATATAATGTTCTTCTGTATTAACACAACAAATTCTATATGATGAATGTATTTGTCCTATATTTTATATTATATTTAATTCAATATTTTAATAGTCAAAGCACTTTTCTAAACAATTCTGTCTCTAAAGATTTGACATATTTATCTAAAGAGTTACTGCCAGAAGACAGTCTCTCCCCCGTCTCTCTTCCCCTCCCTCTCTCTCTCCCTCCCTCTCTCCCCCCTCCCTCTTTCTCCCTCCCTCTCTCCCTCTTTGCATTTCCAAGAAATGGAAAAGAGAGGAAGAGGAACCTCAAGTTTGGTCATTTATTTTAAAAAAGAAAATTGTGTTGATTATATTATTTTATACTTATCAGTATAAAACAGGCTGTCATTGTTCCCTACTATTCTTAATTAATTCTCAACTTAAGAAGTTAAGTTTATTGGGATTCTTAATTAATTCTTAATGAAGAATCTCAATAAAATTCATTTGATTAAACTTGATTTAAATCCAATGTTTAATTTAACTGCCAATCCCAGCCTAACACACAAATGCACAATTGTAATGTTCAAAGTTGGATTTAGCTTGACTGACCAAACCAACCAAAATATAACGGAACATATAACTAGTGATAGAGATTGGATAAATGATGCTTTTAATCATGCTTGTTTTCATTTCATTTATTTATCACACTACTTTTTCTAAGGTGAATTTACTGGTTAATTCAACTTTCTGGGAAGGGGAAGGGGAAGATGTAACATGGAGAACAGGTAATGCTTGTGTCTCAGGTTCAATTTTTGCCATTGATAGTGACATATCTGAGCAAATCCCCTGCACAATGCAGGTTTTTGAGCCCCTATTCAAACTGCCACATGAACAAAGATGCCCTTTCTATTCCAAAATATTGCATTTTATGGAATTGGGGTTTTGAAGGTAGAACGTACCATTCTACCATTCTGTCTCCTTCCTTACCAT